TTTTTTTTTGCCAAGGAACATGTGTACAAATTTTCATTACGATATTTCAATTCGTCTCGTTATCCTGATCATTTAACATCATTTTCATCACAAAACTGTTATACTATGTGGCAACATGATGCAAATGTATAAAACGGCTGGTCAAACCATATAGAGTTAAGAGTTTCCCAACATTACGCTTCGATTTGTTTGCTTCGCCTTGAAAACATTTTATGTGAATGTTCTCATATGGTACAAAAGCATACATCAAACTTATCTGTCAAAGCAAAATTCCGAAACAAACGTTGTATGTGAATCAGCCATTAGTAATAAACTAATGCAAATATAACATACTCGTTTCGGTTATATAAATCCGACTGTCGAGGGAATGGACACACAGTTTTTAGTAACATCTAAATCCATTCGAGATTGATCATATACAATGTCTCAAAATGATCTGGATGATCAACTAAAATTTATCCGCCCGTTTGCAGATTGTAGAAATCGGATCATTTTCACGCACAGTATATACAGTTAATGGAATAACTATAAATTACTACAAATAAGTTATAAAGCACGCTACAAAACTTGAATTTGGTTCAGAGGATCAATGTCAGGATAGACATTTGTGGGTCAAAATATGTTTAAAGATTAAATAGTTAAAAATTATAATTTTCAAGATCTATTATATAATATATTGAAAGCTAAAGACAACCTTCGAACCGTTACAAAATAGATATAATAGACCTTATACATACACATTTGCAGAAATCTTTATGGAAATAGTCGGAATGGTATACATTATTACAGCGTCAACAATTCCGTCAACATACTTTTTAAATTTCTAGAATTTCCCCAATTTAATTCGCCAATGATTATAATTACGAAGATTTAATCCCACTTATATCAGTGAGATAAAGTTGTTGGCAGCGTATGACAAAAATGCTCTGTTCAAACAAATTTACAGAGTAACTGTACATGAGAGGTAAGCTTACACAGTTGTGCTAGAACATTCCTAGTCCTCTAATTTACACACATCTTTGCTCTATCAACTATTTTTACTTACTGCCGGTTCGGTTCTATTTGCTGCCTGACTGACATACCTGAAATCAGAAATCTTGTTTGCTGATAAAAATATTTTATGTATTATTTGGTGAGGTATACGTTTCAAGCATCTATATTTTAAGTTGACTTTAGTTCAGTTTCGTATATTGGGCTGAAAAACTTTTCCCTTATTGATTCCCTCAGTGATTATTATTTTAAAATATTAGTTATGGATATGTTAAAATCTTCTGTAGACATAATTTCTACAAAATCGTTAAGGTTTAGAGCAACATTTGTCATTAAGTTTTCAATTCTTTATAAACCTCTGTAATGAGTAATTCTTCAGTACTTGCATTTTGATCTAATATTTTTGTTTCTGTTTTTCAAAATTTTCGTTAATTTGACGTTGCTGATCATTATTTTTAAACTGATTGTGTCCTTGATTTCTATAAGGTTGTTGTGGTGAGGAGGGGAAGATTACCACATCTCATTGCCATAGTTTTCAATTTCTTGCTATATTTTCGAAAGAACTTTTAAACTTTCAAAATGTATAAAGTTTGCACCGAAGTTTTTAACACCGAGAAAGAGCCGTCGGAGGCTCTATAAAGTATATACAATTACGTTCTAAGTATAACATCATTAAAATGGCCTCCACGACTTCTTTTGCAGGAACGAATTCCATGCACCCAATTTTCGAGTACTTTTTTCACTAAATCAAGTCCTATGTTATGAATAGCACGTTCAATATTGGTTCCTAAAACTTAAAGAGAGTCTGGTTTATTGCTATAGACCAATCACTTCAAATAACCCCACAAGAAGTAGCCTAGTGGTGTTAAATCACAACTTCTTGGAGGTCATTCAATGTCACAATTTCTTGAAATTATCGAATTTTCAAACTTGTCTTGCATTAATTCAATTGTTGCACGTGCTGTGTGACACGTAGCCATAAAAAGTTGGTTATCATCGCTCTATACTGCTCCATTGAAAGTAACGTTACTTTTCTTCGCACCAGTATCGACAGTTTTGTTCATTTGCCGCACCAATCAGATGAACTGAGCCCAGTCGGAGAAGATGATTTTCTTAAAAAAATCGTTATCGTTTTCAAGTTGTTCCAAGGTAAAGTGAGCAAATTCACGACGTTTACGGATGCATGCCCAAATCTTTGAGAACGTCTTATTATCGTCAAATAGCGGTCTTCAGCAACACTTGCCTGAACGGCAGCAATATTTTCATTACTTCGAGCGGTTTCTTGTCTGGCACTTGAATATTATGTCAAGAAAATGTACTCTCGAAATTTTTAACAATTCGACGAATAGCGGGCACAGATGGGCGATTATTACGACCATAAAATGGCAAAAGCGCACGAAAAGTTGCAATTGGAGAACGATTATTTTGATAATAAAATTGTATAATTTGTAAACATTGCTCTTGCGTATATCTGTCCATGATGAAATTGTAAACATACTGAATAATATGAAAAATTTACAGATTACATATTATGACATATTAAAAATGGCCAAAACGACACTTAGAAATCATATCATCTATTGTAAACCCCGATATATATAAATGATCCGCGTGACGAGCTGAGTCGTTTAGGCTTGTTCGTCTGTCTGTCTGTATATACGCGAATTAGTCCCTCAGTTTCTGAGTCATCGATCTGATTTTCTCCCCGTCCTTTTCTCTTCGTTTGTCAGTATCACCGATATCGGGCCAGCTGCCATACAAGCTGACCGATCAAAGTCAAGTTCTTGTATAAAAAACTTTTTTATTTGACAAGTTCGGCCAAATTATGACCTCTATGTTGGCGGCAGTAAATAGATAGAACTTCAAGTTTATTATCATTTATTAAAATATATTAAGACAGCATAAGTTTACATTTTAAGCTAAAAATATTGTGAAGAACATGAGTTAAAGCGTTCTGAACATTCCCGCATCGAAATGGGCTCGCACTTCCTCCACGTTTCCGGCTGATTGGCTTATCTAAAACAAAAATAGCGGCGTTTTAATATGTAAGCCTAAACGTACAGAATGGACTATTATCAAATGAATATACGAAAAATTGGACTTTTGTAGACATTTAAAAAAAAAGTTGGGAATTTTGCGTTTTTTTTTTGTTTTTTGCTATTAAAAAAATTTTGAGAATTTTTGATTGATAATAGTTCATTCCATGCGTTTACATGTGCTGAGTGTTCCCTACAAATTTCAACTATTCGGTCAAACCGTTTTTGAGATACGATGGAGGAAAGTTTGAAAAACACAGTTTTGAGAAAAACGCGTTTAAAGTTTCAAGTCCGTAACTTAGCGCTCCGAACAGCTTCTTTTCTAACTGCTGTATCTTTAAAACGATTTTGATTTATTTATAAGTTGTACCTCCTTTTAAATTTTATTTCTACTTCTTCAGGCTCGTGGGATGCATTTTGAGAGTCCTTGGTCCACATATCTACTGCTGTGATGTGTGTGGGGTGATATAATCTTATCTATGATATGTTGAACATCGCTGTTTATAATATGATTAATCATCGATCATTAAATCGAAATAAAACTTAACATTATTGCTATGTTTCTAATGCTGTAATTTTTCATGAATATGCATTGGTGGCATCATACGCATCCCACCGGTTGTTACTTTTTGGTACCTAATTCATAAATGTAGGAATATCGCAAAATTTTGGTGTGCAATTTATCAATCTATATATGTATTTGTTTTAGATGATCTCGTACCAAAACCTGTGGATGAAATTGTTGAAATCTGCTCAAAGTCGACAACTAGTTCGGAGGCATATAAGAGACAGAAAATTAATTCCAAGCTTCAGTTGCGCTTACGTTTAAATCAACAAATGGTAAATAGCAACAGCAACAAAAACAAGTGTTCTACTGAAACCACCAGCGATTTTCCAGTAAGTTCTCCTTCAAATCCCCGAAAACGGGCTGTTCTTCAAAAAACCACATTGTCCGGAGACGTTTTTGAGCGTAATCTGGCATTATTAACAACGCAAAAACCGCAAATGTCTTTGGACGAAAAGATTAACGCCTGGAAATGTGATATTGATTTCAGTGAGGTGGAAGATGTGGATAGTTTTGATGATATTTTCCGAGAACATGAGGAATTACAGCAAAGAGTTCTACAAAGCAAGAAAAATATGAATGACACTTTCAACAGTGCACATTATAATTTTAACGTATTTCGAAATGATATCCTGCCTAGGATTACTACAACGACTACTTTAATAGAAAAAGATGAAAAAACGAAACCTTCTGCTATTGGTACTTTTTCGGCACAACGTCGTATGCGAGCAGCTCTCGAATTTGAGTGCAAAAATCGTCAACATCAACATTTATTAAGAGGAAGGAATGCTACGCCTACATTTACATCCTCTTCTGAAAATGATTTACTTTTCTGTCTTACTTCCAAACAAAAATCCAACAGCAATCATCAAAAGCTACGCCCTAGAAGTTCGGAGCATGGAAATCAAGTTCTGAATGGAAAGTCTTCGTGTGATATTTTAGAATCAAAAGAGACCATTCGTCGTCATTCCAAAATGATAATAGGCGGATATCCATCGCATGTAGCCCGTCGATCTCGGCCATCTGCAGATGAGGAATCGGTTTTTAAGTTACGCCGCCTGAATAAAGAAATTGATAAATTTAATGGAAAGACTGAGACAAATTCTCGAGGTCTTATTCAAATGCGTTTGGATTTTGCAATACAAAATAAAAGTCAACAACTCTATGAAAAAAGGAGTCAATTGTTTAAAACGCCTACATTGCCACGAAAACAGCTGCCGCTACCCGTTCTCACCCAGTTACCGACGCCGAACTCAGCTGCCTTAAACGTATCTATATTAATGTCAAAGAATACACATAGCTTTAATCCTAGTAATACGGATAAAAACGCAGAATTTCCGCTTCACCAATCAGAAGACAATGAGTTACAAACAGAAATAATGACTACATCCCTACATGAAGCTGAGCAGTCCTATTCTACACTTTCCCCAACTTCCAAAAACCTTATATCCACCAGTACATGCCATCAACAACAAGAGTTTTGCAATTACTTGGGATTGACCGGCTTGTCCACTGCCAATGCAGTAGCAAATGCAGTAGCTGAATTGGCCAAGTGTAATTTAACAAGGCGTTCTTTGCGTGTACGCCGTTTGAAGCAACAGGAGAAAAGTGAAAATAACCAAAAAATCACAAATTCAAAAGACTTAACATTGGACGATGAGTATGTACAATTAACAATAGGCGAAAGGTTAAATGCAGCCGAAATTGTTGATAAGAAAGAATCTACTGTGAATCTCGGGATGTCAGCAGATTTATGGTAAGTGAAGTGTGGTTATTACTATATCAAAATGCAATGTCAATACACGAGTATATTTCCTTAACCACAAACTAATTCAACAAAATAGTTTAATTATTACGCCTTTTAAATTTTAAATATTAGTTAATCTCCTAATCGTTAGAAATTACTATAAACTAAACAAGGCTGGGAGACTAACTTAAGTAACAGTAGTTTTATTGAACACGCTGTCAAATAACTGTTAAGTCTAGACCGATAAACAGTCTGCATTTGAACTAAACACAAATTCAGCAAAATGTTTTCACATTTACAGAAAGTACATTAAAATATGATATGATATACTAAAATACAACCGCCATGGTGCAGTAATTGGCTAATAACATAACTAATCGACTCAATCCTAGTTTTGTAAAAAAATTATGGGTTGCCTAAGTTTGGGTGTAACCAAACAGTTTATATTCTCGCAATTTTTGTCTGCACAATTTTAGATCAATATCTGAAAAATAGAGCCGGGTAGACGGACATGGTTAAATTCGTCACGCTCATCATTTACAAATTTAATCATAATATTGACCATTGCTTTTTACACATTTGTTAGTCTTTTGAAGCAAACCAATCAGACATCCGATTCTCGACCTATACTTGTATATACACTCAATGAAAAAAAAAACACTTACCGTTTTGGATCTATGGCAAGGGGCTGAATCATCCCGAAAATAAACTTTTTGGGTGTGTTCGAGCCTTCTTTTTAAAATTTCAATGTATATTTCGGCATTAACAGATCCTTTAAGAATAATAAGAAGTTGCTTTTTGGCTGGACGTCGCGCTCGTAATCCAAGATTATTCAAGACATTTTGCATAGAACGTGTTGTTATTTTTATCCCAGTAGTTTCGTAAAATATTGAATTGATTGTTCCAGCATGTTGAAAGCGATCAGTAATGCACATCCATTTAATTTGTCGTTCATGACAAGGTTTTACTTTTTTCGGACCCCCACTGCCCTTCTTTCGATTTAAAGAGTTAAATTTCGTATAATTTTTAATAATATTGCGCACACTCCAATCACTTATGTCCATTTCACGAGTTATTTAACGTTTGGATAATTTATTTTTATATAAAGCTATGCTTTCTTCTCTATTGACTACACCATGTCCAACTTTGCTTATTTTTACAATTGACTCAAAAGAAATTACCGCAAGTACTGAAATAAACACGTTGGGAAACTAATGGGTTCAGGAATACCGGTAAACCAATGTAGTCACATAATAAAAAAATCAAATCAGACAAATAGCGTATTTTGAGCGAATAGTAACAGTTTAAAAATGGAGTATTAGAAAATTTTTGACTGCGTGGTTTTTTTTTTCGCTGAGTGTATATACTTACACATAGCCAATAAAGTCTGCATTTACCCGACACTATTTTTTCAAGTGAAGTAAAAACACAATGTAAATAGGTAATTCAGTTCAAATTTTCTACATGTATTTCTTCTTTATATTTTTAAGTTCAAAATGCAAAAACAAAAATGTCTATTCCTATTTTCCTTTTTGTGATAACGGAATTTTAGTGTAAGGAGAAGTAAACATCGGCACCATTAAGTCGGTGTTCAGCTTTAAAATTAGTTACAAAAGTATTAAAAATGATAAAGAAAAATTAAATTCAATATTTTGTTGGATACCCGCGTTGTTTTAAAACCTCGCTCAATCGATTTGGCATTGATCTTACCAACTTATCTGTTTCCTCAGCTGTAATCTGGGACCATTCTTTTTTCATAACACTTCGCAAAGCCTCTTTACTTGTTATTGTATGCTGATGAATTCTTTTTTCCAACAGATCCTATAAAAATCAAATTGTTTTTTAAAATGTTCAAATAACCCCATTTATCCATTGTGAATTCAATAAATTCAAGCTGACCCACACCACCAGCCGGCATGCAACCCCACACCATAATTCCGCCACCTCCGTGTTTAACTGTACCAACAAGATTTTACTTTTCAAGGGCAGTTCCTGACTTGCGCCACACAATTTGTCGACTTTTTATGACAAAAATACAAAATTTACTTTCATCCGAAAATATTACTTGTCTCCAGAATTCCGGCGACTTATCTACTTTCGCCTGTTTACAAGTGAAATACTTGTATATGGTTTCTTTCGAGCGACTCTACCATGATATCCAGCTTTTCGTAAAATTTTTCTAGCAGTTTCGGCACAAATTGTTTTTTTAATGGTTATATTTACGTTTTCAATAATCTTTGTGTTAACTTTCGCCATATTTATTATTTTCCGTTCTTCCCGGGCTGATAATATTTTCGGACGGCCAGATCACGGTTTTGACGTTAAAATTCCGTGTTTTTTTTTAAATTGTTTACGACGCGCTGGACAGAAGAATACGTTCTTCCAATAGTTTGCCCAATTTTTCTGAAACTTTCGCCATCTTTCCACAACTTAATGATAATTTTTCTTTCCGACAGACTTATTTCTTTCCTTTGGTTTTCATTTTTTTTTTAATATTATTAAAACGCGTCACGAGCTCTTTAAACGACTAATTATATTAAAACACAATAGAATCTACGTAAAAAGAACGAAGAAATTCATGAGAAGTAATGGTATTTCCAATTCAAGCTAACTGAACGCAGACTTGATGGTGCCTAAAATCCCGTTATCACAAAAATTAAAATAGGAATATACATTTTTGTGTTTGCATTTTGAACTTAAGAATATAAAGAAGAAATACATGCAGAAAATTTGAACTGAATTACCTATTTACATTGAGTTTTTACTTCACTTAAAAAAATTGTGTCGGGGGAACGGAGACTTTATTGGCTATGTGTATATATTTTATAGGATTTCCAAAGTTTCCTTCTGGGTGTTACAAACTTCGTGGAAAAGTTAATGTACTAATCAGGAGCCCAAGCAGTTTTTTCTCGGGTGTTTTCTCAGAAACCATCCCTGCATTCGCCTACTTGTAGCGGAGCCACCTCCTAGGGAAATCAGGAGAACATTCCAACACCACGTCGACGAACTGGAACAATATCCAAATTTCGGACACGGCCAAATTTCCGATAGGCACTAAACGGCATTCACAGTGGAATTATTAACACCCTTCTAGTGAATGGCGTACTTGGATTTCAAACATAACCAATTGCAGAACAAGAGCTCGAGTTGCCACGTGAAACAAGAGTGACCCTAGCGCAACTTCTGTTTGTTCTGGGTATTATAACAGTTGAAACTCCAACTTATCCAGAATATACCCTGACATACAAAACCTATGTCCTGCATGCAATGAGTCCCAGCTAATCAACTCTTTGCATGCCAATGAAAAGACAGTTAACTCCCCTCTCCCTATGGTCCGAACTCATACAAAACAGCTTTTCCCCCTAAGCAGGGTCTGGATTATCGTTACAATGTCATTGAGATCTTAGGTAGTTTATTCTGATCACCTGGGGCTTATGTACGCGAATTTAAGCCTAAAACATTGTTAAATTACCAAAAGTAACCACCGATATAAAAAACTGATGGGTAGAAATTCGCTAAGCATTTATAATCAAAATGTTAGAAGTCTTAATACAAAAAATAATACAAAAAGTTCGAAGTTCATATCTCATATATGAGGTCCTCTTCCCCCAAAAAAATTGCGTACAATTTGTAGTTGCCGTTTTTTAAATTCTTATTAATTTTTTTAAGAACAATACGCAAAATGATCAATGCTAGCAAATTGACTTGCGCTGTTGCCGTCTGATTCACTCAGCGGAAACTAATGGGATAACTGTCTTTTATTCACTCCTAGCTGACATTATATATCTTTCACATTGACCGATATTTTCGGTAAAAAGTCAACTATAGGCACTGGGGTCCACATATTCATTTAGACAATTTTTGGTCACAAGGTGGCCTACTTTAAACGCATTATTCACGCAAAGTTTTACCCCTATACAATCATTGTTTCTTGATTTGCATAGTGAAAGAATCAGATAGAATTTAAAATGGTGTTATATGGGAAATAGGCGTGGTTGTAATCCGATTTCGCCCATTTTCGCACTATAACATAGAATTGTGAGAAGAACGTTATGCACCGAATTTGGTTGAAATCGGTTAAGCAGATCCCAGTGCCGATTTCACGCATTTACACACTGTCGATAGAGGTGCTAAAAACATTTATTCTCAGTAAATTTTGTTATACTTTAGTGGTTTAGGAGATATACATATTAAACCTATTAGGGAGCGGGACCACGCCCACTTAAAAAAAATTTAAACTGCAGATGACCCTCCCTTATGTGATCCTGTAAACCAAATAACAGTTTTGGAGCTTAGTTATGACAATTTATTTGTTTTTGATTATTATACTCTGTAGCAACAGGTTGCGAGAGTATAATAATGCTCACTGGCCGAACATTCGGCAAAAATTTGTTAGAATAACAAAAATCATTATAGTGCTTACTCATTGAATTACTACCGATGACAATTTTTTTTTTAATTTGTCTGTCCTTAGTAATATTTGTTTAGTATATGGATTTTTTTTGCGAAAAAACTTTAATATAAGTTACGGGATGGTTCTTCTTTTATGTATGATACATATAAACTATGACAACTCTGCCAATGTTGTTAAAAGTATATCAACCAAAAGAGAAGCTTTATTTTTAATTGATCTGACTGAGCGGGCCTTTTTGTTTAAAGTGAGATATCAAGGAAGGTCATCCTTCGTGCAATTGCAGCAGTTAGTAAATAATAAAAGAATAAAAAGCGGTAGACAAATTACTTCACCACAAGTGAACGCAGAGGTAAGTAAAAAAAGTTATCAGAAATTAGTTTTGCATTAGAAATAACTATATTATTTTCTTTAAAAGGTATGGGTAAAAAAATGACTTATCGGTTTAAAAAAATTGAAATTTTCGCATAGCTGAAGGAAAATTAGTACAGTTATTCTCAAGTAGTTGGAAAACTTCATTTGTCGAAATCATCTGTAGTAAATTTTGCAAAAATGGTTAGAAACAACGACTGACCGTAAAATTCTTCAAGAGGTTATGGAGAATAGAAACTCGGGATCTAAACCAATTTTGAAGAATCTAAATGACTCTGCATAACGGTATCATTTAGTGCACTACATCGTTGATTGTATGAAAATGGGCTAATTTACAGGCGACCAGAAAAGAAGCCAAAGTTAACATTAACAATGCGTCAGAAGCGATTTTATTGGGCCCAGTTGCATCAGGAATTCAGGAACTCCTACTGGAGAAAGATAATTCTTAAAATTTTATTTTATATAACAACATATAAAATATTTGTCAAAAAAATGTTTTCTATTTTATTTCATTACTTAAGTTATCTTGAGTGACAAATGTCGATTCGAAACAGATCCGAATCCAGAAAACTCGTTTGTATGAGACAAGGTGACCAACCAAATGTTCCAACTGATAAAATGATACCTAATTTATTATTCCAACTTTATTATTTTTTGTATATGAATTATCAAAGTCGTAATTTTTAAACTCGCCTATCGGTCATAATTCGATGAGTAAGCACTGTATAAGTACAAGTAGTACAAGTATATGGGAATTGGGGGTAGTATTGATGAGCTGAGTTTATTTAGCCATGCCCGTCTGTCTGTATATATACAAAATAGTCCCTCAGTTTTTAAATATCTTCACGAAATTCGGCATGGATTATTATTTAAGGCAATATAGATCGGAAGACTATAGCATATAGCTGCCATACAAACTAAACGATGGGAATTAAGTTCTTGTAAGGAGCTTTTGTATTTGTGAAGGGTATTATAGCTTCGGTGAGATATCTTTATGAAACTTGGTAGACATGTTTCTTAGTATCGTGAGACCGTTGGTATTGCAGATGGGTGTAATCGGCAGATGGGTGTAATCGCCCACAAAACGCCATTAATCAAAAACAAATAAATTGCCATAACTAAGCTCCGTAATAAGATACAAGACTGTTGGTACACAGGATCACATTAGGGAGGGGCATCTGCAGTTAAACTTTTTTTTAAAATGGTCGTGGTCCCGCCCCTAATAGGTTTAATGTGCATATCGCCTAAACCGCTAATGCTATAAAAACAAAATTCACTGGAAGCAAATGTGAAAATAATTGAAATCGGGTGGCAACTCCGCCCACTCCCCATATAACGGTACTGTTAAAAACTACTTAAAGCGCTATAAATCAAGCACTAAACACGCCAGAGACATTAAATTTTATCTCTGGGATGGTATGAGATGACTTTATAGGAACCGCGTTCAAAATTAGACAGTGGGCGTGGCATCGCCAAACCCATATCTTGGGATCTGCTTAACCGATTTCAACCAAATTCAGTGCATAACGTTCTTTTCATATTTCTATGTTAAAGTGCGAAAATGGGCAAAATCGGACTACAACCACGCCTATTTCCGATATAACACATTTTCAATTCCAATGATTATACTAAATATGTGGACCCCAGTGCCTATAGTTGACCTTCTACCGAAAATATCAGTCAATCCACAAAGAAATTTCAAACGAGTATACCATTTGACTTTGCGAGAGTATAAAATGTTCGGTTACATCCGAACTTAGCCCTTCCTTACTTGTTTTGGTTTGATTTAAACAATTTTTGTTCAGAAGGTGGCATACTTTAAAATCATTATTCGTGCAAAGCTTTATCCCGAAATATTCTTTGGTGTTTGATTTGCAAACAGGAGAGTGAAAAAATCAGATGGAATTTAAAATTGTATTATATGGGAAGTAGGCGTGGTTGCACTGCCACATAGGAATGTCAAAATATTGTTATAACCGAGTTTGGTTTAAATCGGTCAAGCGGGTCCCGAGATATGTGATTTCACCTAAAAGTGGGTGGTGCAACGTAACGCCCATCGTACAATTTTCGCCACGGCTCCTATAAAGTCCTCTCATACCATCTCGGGAGTGAAATTTAATTTCTCTGGCATATTTAGTCATTAATTTATCGCGCTTTAACCCTTATGTTAGTAACCGGGTACCCACCGCGGTGTATTTGTGTGAATAACTTAAAAAAATTAAATATTTCATTTTAAGCTCTCAAATCGTCGTTTTTTAACTTAAAAGAAAGCTATTTGTGAGTTAATTTTTATACTCTCGCAACCTGTTGCTACAGAGTATAATAGTTTTGTTCACCTAACGGTTGTTTGTATCACCTAAAACTAATCGAGTTAGATATAGGGTTATATATATATAAATGATCAGGATGAAGAGACGAGTTGAAATCCGGGTGACTGCCTGTCCGTCCGTCCGTCCGTCCGTGCAAGCTCTAACTTGAGTAAAAATTGAGATATCTTTATGAAACTTGGTAGACATGTTTCTTGGTACCATGAGACGGTTGGTATTGCAGATGGGCGTAATCGCCGACTGCCACGCCCACAAAACGCCATTAATCAAAAACAAATAACTGCCATAACTAAGCTCCGCAATAAGATACAAGACTGTTATTTGGTACACAGGATCACATTAGGGAGGGTATCTGCAGTTAAATTTTTTTTAAAAAGTGGCGTGGTCCCGCCTCTAATAGGTTTAATGTGCATATCTCCTAAACCGCTAATGCTAGAATAACAAAATTCACTGGAAGCAAATGTTTTTAGCACTTCTATTGATGGTGTGAAAATAGTTGAAATCGGGTGGCAACTCGCCCACTCCCATATAACGGTACTGTTAAAGACTACTAAAAGCGCGATAAATCAAGCACTAAACACGCCAGAGACATTAAATTTATCTCTGAGATGGTATAAATTGGCTTTATAGGAATCGCGTTTAAAATTAGTCAGTGGGCGTGGCACAGCCCACTTTTAGGTGAAAACCCATATCTTGAGATCTGCTCAACCGAGTTCAACCAAATTCGGTGCATAACGTTCTTTTTATGTTTCTATGTCATAGTGCGAAAATGGGCGAAATCGGACTACAACCACGCTTACTTCCCATGTAACACCATTTTCAATTCCATCTGATTCTTTCACTTTCCACTATGCAAATCAGGTAACAATGATTATATCGGGGTAAAACTTTGCGTGAATAATGCAATTAAAGTATGCACCTTGCGGCCAAAATTGTCTAAATCGAACCAAACTGTTCAAACCCCTAAGTACTAAATATGTGGACCCCAGTGCCTATAGTTGACCTTCTACCGAAAATATCAGTCAATCCACAAAGAAATCTCAAACGAGTATACCATTTGACTTTGCGAGAGTATAAAATGTTCGGTTACATCCGAACTTAGCCCTTCCTTACTTGTTTTATTTATTTTTTATTCTACGTTGTTATTTTTTTTTCTTTAAATTGTCACTGACTATTAATATTTGAAGAAAACAATTTTTTAGAAAATTTTTTTTTAATAAAATACACAAAATAATAATAATACTCAGATCGTGGTTGCTAAAAGACGTCGGTAAAGTTGGTTACTAACATAAGGGTTAAAGGAATTTGATTATTTTAGCTTCAATGGTTTGGAAGATATGTGCATTAAACCTTTTAGAGAGCGGGGACACGCCCATTTTTTTTTTAATTTTGCCCCTTGCTACTGCGATCCTCTATTCTAAATTACAGTTATATATCTTAATTTAGTGCTTAGTTATGACACTTTAAACTTTTTCTTTTAATGGCGTTTTGTTGGCGTGACAGTGGTCCGATTACCATCATTTACGAACTCGTCCTTACTTTTTTGCCAAGGAACACGTGTATCAAGTTTATATATATATATAGGTATATGTATATCTCAATATTTACAGTTACAGCTTGCACAGATATACATATTTATATATATATACATATGGTACATATATTTTAATACTCAGTAATATTTCGTAAACCCTTAACTTAATCGAAAAAATATGGAATAAATATGTTGATCTGTATGATATATTATATACCCGATGTGTGGAAAGTCGAAAGAGTGGTCCCCCTACTGAAACCTAGGAAACCCGCCGACCTAGGGGAGTCTTATCCGATCCGATCATATTCCTTTCTCCAGTAGTGAATACACTTGAGGCCTTGTTACTCCCGACTTCCACTCACCATATGAGTCTAGCACACCATCAACATCATCTGTTAAGTGCACAGCACCACCATTCAACTTAGCGTCATAAACGCCTAGATAGTTCGTGGCCTAAATCGAAAATCACACTGTCAGAGGACGATTCTTAATTATCGGTACTATATCGAGGTCAGTATTCTAAGTTAAGAAGTTTTAAACAGGAGATTTCGCAGGGTGGTGTCCTCTCCCCGCCCGTTTAACTTCCATATCTCGAAACTCGCGCAACCACCCGAGGGAATTTTTATCACCTCATATGCAGAGGACTGTACAATATTGACGTCAGGCAATGGGTTTGATGTCATGTGTTCAAAAGTCAGCGGTTATCTCATCTTTCTCGCTTCTTCTCTGAAAGGAGCCTAATACTCTTCTACACTAACTCAACAGAGATCATATTAACGACTTGACAAAGGAGCACAGACGGGATCCTAATATTAAAGTAGATGGCATTAAAATCCCAAACCCTAAAATTTTAAGTGCTACACTCGCGATTATTGCCAAAGTACAGATCAGAACAAAAGTGGCTAGCCGGCAGCACCTGAGGAAAAGACAAAGAAACGCTGTTGGCACGATTAAGTTTCAGATATACCAGGACATTACACTCTGTAGAATAACAGGATGCCTCCCGATGTCTCCCGTTGAATACCTACATAGTGAGGCCTGCACGCTTTCGGTTAAAGTCATTCCTTGAATTCATCGACGACATAGAACTTTACAACCAGACTATGAACGCAACTAACTTCAGACACGCACTGACCGCCATTCACAGTGGAGCTAATGGCTCTTCAACTTCACCAACTCCTTCCCAGTGAATGGCATACTTGGAGTCAATCCACCGCCCATTACAGATGAACTTCCAACCACCAGGAATTAGATAACCGTTACAACAACCTAATTTCTATGGAAGTGGCAACAAGTTAAAAATGGGTTCATTCTAACTATACTAAACAAAACTCATATCAATTTCTGTTAGTCCTACCTATTTTTAATGGATTTCTACTATAACCTAAGGACACTGAGTGGCTGTTAGCTATAGTACTAGCTCCCTAAAAAATAACTTAATCGATTGATTATTGGTTTTACACGAAATATTTTTTATAATAACCTTTACTGTTTAGAAACCTTTAAATTTGAGGTTATCTAGCAATAAAATTTTTCTCTCCCTTCCAACAAGTTTAAAATAACCAACATAGATAAAAAGGAGACTAGGGAAAATGTATATTACTCGTAGACAAGGGTAATTTGATAAAAAAAATGTGTACAAGTACATTTGCTCAGTAAGTTTTGTCGAAGTCGAATACTGCTCTCAGTCCCTTTGTACAACTGTATATTTGTGTACATAAGCATATTTACCTGTACGAATAAAAAGATATTTACTTTGTACTTTCAGGGATAAAGAGTCTCGGCCTCCAGCGAATCAAAAATGCTCTTATATCTTAGGAGAAGAGAATGGAAAAAATATTAAAGAACAAGAAAAGATCGTTTGTAATGTATCCTGCGAAGTTCCTAAAAAATGCGTAGAAGAGGATACTGTGCAGATACACAAAAAGCTGCTATGCCATTTGAAACGTAATACGACAAATTCAAATGGTACTTCAACATGTCCCCGCTCTTCGGTTAGTGATCTTATTTATGACTATGAGATTAACAGCAATCCCACACCAAATGAATCACAAAAAAACAATAATATATTAGACACCGAATATAGACCTTCACCAACACAGAACAGTGCGTGTTCGTCATTTAAGAATACCTTGATTTCGAATAGTGTAGAACACCAGAATTCTATGAAACGACAGTTACATAACAAGTTCAAAAAATATTTAGAAGCCTCGCGTAAAATGAAGCCCAGTATTTACATTGTAGACACTTTACATAATCCTGAACCGCGGCAGGATTTACAACGTGAAAATAATCGAATGGTGGACGTAGAAGTAGAAACTTTTTCAGCTGAAACAAAAATACTAAATACTCAACTTTCAAATGACACAGAAGTTGTATGCATTGAAAAAAGTGATAAAAATATAAAAATAAATGGTATCGAATCATTGGATGCGCAGAAACAAGAATTGTCATTACTCTCAAAGCAAAAGAAAAAGAACCGCTTACGAAAATTATTGGCTGTCGCCACACCTTGGCATAAGATAAAAAATCATCGCCAACTTCGAAGCCGTAAAATATTGTTGGTAAAAAGAATAAAAACAGCACCTAATAAAATTCAAAAGGCTGCAAAACCAACTGTTAATATTGTAAAACCTGAGCATTGCAGTATAATTTCAACATCCAAAAGTGATATATCTAAAACAAAGAGTACCACATTGGAAAAAGGAAAGAATCAAGATTATAAAAAAAAATACAAACGCCTTCATAAAAGTAGGCTAACATATAAAAGCACACCATCTCCACCCGACACGTCTACTGAAAGTTCAGAATTGAAAAAATCAAATACAGGCATTTCATCGCCGATACAAAAAGTCCAAACTACATCGACAGGACGACGTCGACTTAGATCAAAATCGTTTGTAATGCTTTCATCAGTAGATTTAGCAAACAACAGGATAGATAATACGAATATAAATCCCCCAATGTGCAACCTTGATCATGACACAGTTGTTGTTTCATCAACAACCAATAGTTATGACGAGGCGACGTTACTGAAATTAAATAAAATTGATAGTCCTAGTCAAATGTCACACGAGCCTAAATCGGATCATAATGATACGTCATATGTTATTCGAACCAAAGATAGTAGTACCCAAAGTGTTATTCCCTTGGGTATTCATTTCCTCAGTGCTCCCAGTCGTCAATTAAATAATCCTGTGAAAACTGTGAACGGTCCAATCGATTATATATATTATGAAATGGATGTGCTGATTATAATTCAAGAAAGGACCGTTAGCTTTTGGAAGTCTTTTAAACTCATTAACGTCTTAGCAAAATCACAAAATTGCGAAAAATATTCTCATCGAATAAGTAATGAAGATATGTACCGACCACCATATTCTTCAGCTACGGATGATACCTCACCTCAATGGCTGCCTCTAGGAGAGTGTCGACGCCTTTCTGCCGGTAAGATTATTATGATTAATTAAAATATAAATCTTGCGTTTGATAATAATTAAATATAATAATTAAAGACATCGAAATATTTCGGGGATATTTTTTTAATATTTTTCCTGGTGGTCTTTATATGAAAGAAGTAAGGAAGTTAAGTTCGGATGTAACCGAACATTTTATACTCTGGCAATTTGCAAGAATCAAAGCCGAGGAAATACCTTTGGGTGTTAGCAAAACTTTAATTTTAAGAATTCAACAATCAATAAAAATTATAACCACATGGTTCTCGGAATGACCAAAAATTAATTATGTTCGTTAACCAAAATTAAATGGTCACTACTGTGTGGGTGTTTGATGGGAGACATCGAATTGTACGGAATGCAACGTTCTGACAAGTCTATAGCTTCTTTTGCTACGACATACTGCATACAAACGACCATACTGGTGCTGCTTAGTTTAAGACCGACCGGCCGATTGCCTTGGATGCACGTTGTTTTTCTTTTCCCCAGGTGCTGCCGACTAGCGGTTTGAGGACTTTGCTGCGGTGATGTACTTTGGCAATAATTGCAAAGAGAAAGAGTAGAGGCAGTTCAGTGGAACATCTTAATATCCAATAATAGCCATCGAATGCAATATTAAGGTCCAGTCTGAACTCTTTTGTCCAGTTCGTGAATAAGGTCGCTGTGGACTTAGAGTGCTAGTCTCCTTGCAGAGAAGAATCAAGAAAAACTGTTGAGATAGTTGTTTACTCTCGACTACATGTCATCTATCCCATTGCCCATCGTCAATATGGTACAATCACCAGAGTATGAGGTGATAGAAATATCCGCTGGTGGTTGGGGAGTTTCGAGGAGTAACAATTAAAATTAGTGGGGAGAGGACACCATACCTGTGAAATCACCTGTTTAAAACCTAAGGGCACTGAGTGCATCTGTTATCTGTAGTACTATTGTAGATACCTATAAAAAATAAATGCTGTGGTGGTGCAGTGCACTACTAAAACCTAACCTTGTTTGCTAGTGGTTCGGATGGTGAGTAAATTTTGGGAGCAAGAAGGCCTCAAATGTCTTCAATACTGGGGAAATGAGAGGTATATTCCGATATTCCACATATCGACAACGATTGAGGGCGTAAGAATGGGTGAAGTGCTTTTAGCAAATTATGTGAAGTCGGGGAGTTTCCGATGGGAGATGGTTATGGGCGGTTGGTCTAATACAAGAGTTAGCATAGGTCGTCAAGTTATGCGCGTTAAAGTCGTATTGCACCAAATGGTTCTCATCATTAAGCAGCGCACTTAAATTCGGGTGATATCTTGTTGGGCGATAAATAAAATATTTCGAGACCGTCATCGCCTGACCGGATGGCTTTGCCCTCACATTTTATGGTAGTATCGTCATTGAGACGACGATATTGCACAGTGTTATGCAGTGTGAGGCCAAGGTTTCTACCATTATCTCACTCGCGATCTTATCAATACGCTTTCCTGGCTCAAAAATTTTATTATCTCTTCGATCCTACTCTGGAATCCGTTGTAGTTAAATTGTATAATTCTAGCTTGTGTCGATTGTCTAGTTGTAATCCTGGGCGTGAGGGAGTAGTATGCAGATGGTAGTTGTAGGTACTGCAGCACCCGCAGAGGCGGTTGTCACACCGTGTTGGTGTGGCGACGCAATTATAGGCTGGCGGTTGCAGTCTCTTGCACCGCTTAGCAACGTATGGCACCCTCCACTCACGTATAGTGCAGGTTAGAACACGTCGGTAAATTCCACCGGGCCCGGGCTGAACTTAATGCCCGAACGGGTCAGAAAGGATAAAAACAGCATCCAAGTATGACACTTTTAACTTCTACTTACCGATCCAGCCAGGGTTAGATTTCCGAAATAATATCCCAATTCCGGTATCGTAGAACCGGTTACGGTGGGAAGATATCTTACATATTGAACAATATATAAACTATAAAGCCAATCATAATTTCGAAAATCTTAATGTTAGGCATATGATATATATAATATAATTCAAAAATATACCTCATAGATTCACTTATGTACAGTGGGTCACAGCTTATTTGATACAGCAGCCGATATAAATTTCGAATCCCAATATTTTCTAAACTGAGAGGAATATTGAAAAAATTTAAACGCTTTATTATAGAGTATAGAATTTTATATATATGATGTACTTCATTTATTTAAAAAATATTTTATTTTCAAATATATGTATATAAAATTAAAATTACTGCTAAATTTCAGGTCACAGCTTATTTGATACAGTTCAATTCATTCCAAAATAACTTAAACAAATCACTTTCAATCTTAAATTCTTAATATTTTGTATGAAAGTCTTTCGCCTTAACAAGAGCCTGGATCCTGGTTGGCATTGATTGGACCAACTTTTGTGTGGTTTCTAGGGTAATTTTCTGCCATTCCTCTAGTAGCGCCTTTTTCAATAATATTTACTCTATAATATAGCGTTTAAATTTTTTCAATATTCCTTTCAATTTAGAAAATATTGAGATTCGAAATTTATATCGGCTGCTCTATCAAATAAGCTGTGATCCACTGTATATTTATAGCCTAAAGAGGGTATATTTATTTTGCCACGATGTTTGTAACAATTAAAAGGAAACGTTGGAGACTATAAAGTATAAACATATGTATATAAACTATCAGCGTGACGAGCTGAGTCGATTTAGGTAGATGGATATGAGTGCTGCCACCATGGGCTCAATTAACGCTGGATGTGCCATTTTGATGCGCTGTCGTAGGACCTTATAATCTTGCTATTCCGTTTCATCGTTGCCCTCAAACCATTTGGTGGTCTCAATGAAACTACTTATATCCGTTATTCGTTTAGTGAACGAAGGTTTGGTGCCTGATGGGTTCCAAGTATTTTGTGCAGGATTTGTGATAGAGCTTGACATTCGCAAAGAAAGTGGAAGACCGTTTCCGTAT